TTAGTCTAAGATCTCACCAGCTAAAGGCCCAGTCGTCCCAGACAGTCCTTGCACTTCAGTCACTAATTGTAAATCCAGATTAGGGTTTGTGTTTCTGACCAACTGACTGTAGATCTGAGGTTACAAAGATCTTTTTTTTTTTTGCACTTGATTCATCTGTTAGAGCAGCTTACAAAACTCAAAGGCATAATATAATTCAATTAATAGATTACTTATGTATTATAGAAACTTATTACTCAGGAATGATCCAGTGGAAGATGTTGCAGAGGATAAGATATGAGCTTGAGGAGCTTCCACGTCCTCTCCATGCACATTCCTTTACCCAGATCTCCACATATTCATTAATCTAGAAGCTCTTTGAAGTCTGTGTTTTGGGTTCCCCCCCCCCCCGCTTTTTTGGGTCACACCTGGTGATGCACAGGGGTTACTTCTGGCTCTGCACTCAGGAATTACTCCTGGCGGTGCTCAGGGGACCATATGGGATGCTAGGAATTGAACCCGGGCCTGTCGCATGCAAGGCAAATGCCCTACCCGCTGTGCTATCGCTCCAGCCCCAGTGTGTTTTGGGGTTTTTAATGAAGGCCTCATTAAATGGCATGATGTAAGGTGATTAAGTCATTGACCATTAGTGATTAATTCACTGTAGTCTCTTCCCTCCCCTGAAATCCTTGATAGTTCCAATCCTCTCATAATGGTTGATTCTCCTGGAAACCAACTTTTCCCCCTTAGATACATCCTGAAACTGCCTCATTAGCATAACAAAAGAAACCTGGTTTGGAGGGACGATCCGAGAAATGGGAATAAGCACAAATTTTATATTTATTATTATGAATTTATAGTACCATTTATGAACTTGAAAACTGCATTATAAGAATTTGAACATGGCATAATTTTTTATATAGCAAAAATTTCTCTTTACTAATTAAAATTTAGGGAAGAATTTCACTTATTTTTCAAATTCTGTGGACAGTCCTTAGAAATTTTAATGTGTATTTACTTAAACTTATGTATTAAATTTATTTACTATTTTTGTTTTGCAGCTACACCCAAAAATGGGAACTTAGGAGTGATCAAAGGGGTTGATAAATTTAGTTGTTAATTTAAGAATATGCATTGTGTTAATATAATAAAAGCAATAACAAAAGAGAAGGGATTTCAGTGGTAAAATCAGAAAGTTCAGTAGAACTGGAATACTGAAGATTTCAGATTATATTAGAAAAATCTGGAGAGATAGTTCAGTAAATAAGGCATGTGCCTTGCATATGGTTAACCTGAGTTCGATCCCTGGCATCCATATGGTCCCCCAAACCTTGCCAGGGGTGATTCTGAGCACAGAGCCAGGAGTATTCCCTGAACACGGCTAAATGTGGCCCAAAAAACAAAAAGAAAAGGAAAAATCAATGAAGTGTGTAGCACTGTAGCACTGTCTTCCCATTGTTCATTGATTTGCTGGAGCAGGCACCAACAACGTCTCCATTGTGAGACTTATTACTGGTGCCCCAAGGTATATCGAATACATCACGGGTAGCTTGCCGAGCTCTGTCGTGCGGGCGGGATACTCTTGGTAGCTTGTATCTGAGCTCTCTGAGAGGGACGGAGGAATCAAACCCGAGTTGGCCGCATGCAAGGCAAAGCCCTACCCACTGTACTATCACTCCAGCCCCTGTAATAGCATTTTTTGAAGATAATCAAAAGGTTAAAACAGCCTAGATAGTCACCAAGCAGTAATACATATGTGTAATGAAATACTAGTTCTTTAAGAGGAGGAAATTGGGCCAGATAGATAGTACAAAAGGTTCAGGAATTGCACATGGTGTTCCCTGAGCACCACTGGATGTGGCCAAAAAAAACATAAAATAGAAAATCCTTGTATTTTAAAACTTAATCCTCACATAATACTCCTTAGTATGTGTTTGTAATTTAGTATATATATATTCATACTCTGTCAATCCTCAGGAACTAGAGAAAGTCCAATGGGCTGTTGTACATCCTTTACATATGGGAGGCCCAGGTTCGGTCCCCAGCAGCACATGGTCTAAACACTGCTGGGTGTGGTCCCAGAACATAAAAGGCTAATTCTCAATAACTTGGGGAAGAATTTATAATGACATACAAATATTAGATAACTAAGCATATTAATGTGTGATAAATACATTTGCAGTTGTATTTATAACTAAATTTATGGCTTCAAAATACTCTAGCCTCTCCAGTCTCTCAGGAGAGAGTACAGTGGTGAAGCTGCTTGTCTAGCTAACCTGGCTTCAATCCCTAGTACCACACATAGTCTCTTTAGCACAGAGCCAGGATTAAGCCCTGAGCACAACCAGGTGTGAATTAACCCTCCCTTCCCCCACCCCCCAAAAAAAGACTTCAGGAAGAAAAAAAATATTAGCAGTTAGTTGACTTCAACTCAAAAATAGTAGTAATAATAATAGTAGTTGTGGTAGTAGTCATATTACTACAAATAGTGATGCTACTAATAGATATCCGTGAGGCGGTTTGTATGCACATGCCAGTTGCTGTCCTAAACTCATAACAAACCCAGGTGTTGGTGATATCATTTCCATTTTATTGAGAAGACTGACCAAAAAAAAAAGTTTTATAACTTTTTCAGGATTACTTAGTGTAAATACTTGAGTCAGGATTAGAATCCAAGCAGTCTGGGTTCAATGAAAGAGGGACAGAGGGTGCGGAGGGTGTGGCTCCAATGGTTGATCATATGCTTTTTATGTGGGAGTACCTGGGTTTGACTCTTGATACTGCATGTCCATCCCACTCCCCACACTTGACTGGTTGTGGCCCCGAAACAATACAGATAAGATGGGGAAAAATAATAGAGAATTGGGGAGAAAGACAGAGGAGAGGATAGTAGATGTCTCAGTCAGTAAAGTACTTGTCTTGCAAGTATGTGATGAATTCAACCCCTGGTGCCATATGTGTCAAGTATGGTCCTGGCAGCTTTGTTGTTTGAACCTGAAGACCATTTAGTATTTTTTGGGAAAAATTTTTTTTTCAGATCTTTTAAATCTGAGCCATAGTCTGTTGGGATAGAGGATTCTTGGTTGGAGGTTCTTTTCTTTTAAGACTAATGATACCATTCTCTTTTTGCCTGTAGATTTTCATTTGAGGAATCTTATGTGAGTCTTTTGGTGGTTCCTTTAAGTGAGATAGACTCCTAAAAGCAAAAGCTGCTTTTGCTTCTAGGTGTGTATCTCTCTGTGGGCCTTGCCATTTTGATTACAGTATGTCTTAGTATTTTTGTTTGTTTGTTTAAAATTCTTTAGTATTCCTGGATCATAGTAAATGTCTTCCTCCTAGATTGGGGAAGTTGTTGGCTATTATTTCCTCCACAGCCAATACCTCACCTTTCTTTCATCTCCTGGAATCCCAGTGATATGCATATTTTTCCTCCTAATGATGTCTCATACATCCCTTATGTTGTCTTCATTGTTTCTAATTCTTTCTCCACTTTATTTTAGATGATAATTCTCTACCTTGTCCTTGAGGTCACTGATTCAAGGTGCTCTTTTTTTTTTTTATTCTACTGCCAAAACCCACTATTGTGAGTTCAAAACACAACTATTGAACTGTTTAGTTCAGTTACTTTTTGTTTGTTTGTTTGCTTTTTATGTTTGGGAGCTATACCTGTTGGTTGTCAGGAGTTATTCCCAACTCTGTGCCTGGTAGTTATCAAGGGACCCTAGCAATTGAACCTGGGTTGGCTGTATACAAGGCAAATACTCCAAAATGTGTACTATCTCTCTGGCCCTCATTTAACTTGTGTTTGAGTCAGATCTTAGATGTGCCTAAAATTTCTTATATTCCATGTCCTGTTGTTAAATAATATTCTATAATAGAAGTTGCACTGTTGCTCTTCTTGACTTCTAATTGTGCAATATAACAGCAACCTGTAGATCAACTTTCTTGAGCAGGTTATACCATTGACTTTAAATGTCTGCGCTAGGAAATGGAAAAGAACATACAAGAATTATTTAGGGTGTTTTTTCAAAACACATACTGTTAGGAATTTTAATAGCTTATCTTCTCTGCTATCGCTCCTTGGAAATTCATGCTATGTGAAACACTGTTACTGAAAGAACTTAAGATAGCCCTCTGATACATTAGTTTATTTTTATTGTTGTTGTTGGGGATGGGGTACCCACCTGGCAATGCTCAGTGGTTAATCCTGGCTCGACACTCAGGAATTACTCCTGGCAGTGCTTGGGGGACTATTTTGGATGCCAGAAACCAAATGCTGGTCAGCTGTGTGCAAGGCAAGTGCCCTACCTGTGTACTGTCTCTCTGTCCCTGATATTAGCATATCCCAAAAAGAAACTAGCCTGCATAGTACTTGTTTATTTTTATTTCAAAAAGTTATAATTTATTCATGAAAAATGGCATTTCAGAAAATAAATGACTGCAAATTTCAAATAGGGATTAATCTAATAAAATTTTTGGTAATGGATAAAGAACATACCAGAAAAGTTGTTGGTGGGAGCTGGAGCCATAGTGCAGCTGGTAGGGCAGTTTGCCTTGCTTCCAGCCGACCCCATGTTCAATCCCACGTATCCCCTATGATCCCTGGAGCACCTCCAGGAGTAATTCTTGAATGCAGAGCCAGGAGTGAAACCTATGCATCTCTAGGGATAGCCCAAATACTGAAGAAACAAAAAAAGGTGAAAAGTTGTCGACTGTAAGGGGAAAGAAATCCTGAAAAAGGGGGAAAAAATCCTGAAAATGGTAGTCTTTCTTTAAAAACACATTCAGACCATAGACAATAAGTACTAAAGCTAGCACAAAACAGAAATTCTTAAGGATTTTCAGTCTTCCTTCTTGTTTCATTTTTTTTCTTGCTTTGCATCTGTGAAGTTTATCTTTTCTGTAACCAGTACCCTCGAAATTGCCAGGTTTCACTTGTCTGCTTTCTGGTCTGCCTCCAGTTTAGGTCCCTTCTTTTCTTCTCTCTTTACTCTTGAATTAATCCTTTACCTACTTCACAGGCCGATTCTTTGATGAGAATGAATCCCCTGTTGATCCGCAACATGGCTCTAAACTGGCGGATTATAATGGGGATGATGGTAACGTAGGTGAGTATGAGGCAGACAAGCAGGCTGAGCTGGCTTACAATGAGGAAGAAGATGGTGATGGTGGAGAGGAAGACGTCCAAGGTGAGCGTGGGCCTGGCCTCCATGCTGTGACCGTGAAACTCACCAAGTTTTTTGGTTGAATTTGTGTAGAATTTTTTTCCACTTAGCTATAATCGTAATACAAAGAGGTTCTGTGCAGTTTTTCAGTTTTATTTTGAAACCATTTTATGATGATAATATCTACAGATCTGAAAATAATTTTTCAAATAATTTTTTGTTGTAGTTATATTCATAATTGATACACTTAAAATTTGAAACTTAAGAGTCTTCAGAAATTTTAGAATTGATCTACCTCTAGATTTTATCCAAGACAAATACTACCAGGAAATTATTTTCTCTATTTCTCATCTAACAGTATTTCATTATTCTTGGTACAAGTAATGAGAGACAGCCTTTTGATTATAAGGAAAACCACAAAGGGAATGTTCTTCTCTATATGAAGATGATTATTTCACTACTCAGTTAGCATAGGAAGACTGTTTTAGAATTTTTCTTCTGAGAGGTTTAAATTTTATATTTAGGAATACACAGATTCAACATATTTTCTTTGTTAACTGTTATTTCTGAGCTTTTAACTTCATGAAAGTTCAGAATCTACCTATGTGCATGCAGCCCTACCCATGCATGCTTTCAAAGTATGTTGTTTTATTGCAGATTTTTTGGGCCTGTTTTCTGCCTGCTTATATCATTTACTAGTACTTGTGGAGCTTCTTCTCTTTTATAAAAGCTGATTTATATATTTAATATGTGTTACACTCAATTTATAATCCAGTGCATGAAATACTTTTCAATGTAATTTGTTGATCTCTTCCTTTTTTTTAGAATAATTAACCTTTATTTAGATTTGTATAAGAATTATTTTTATACAACTCAGAAGGAAAGATGCTACATGTGTAACAGAAAAAGGGAAACTAGATCTCCCACTTCTGCCTCAGCATCGTTTTAATAGTATATTCTAGATTAGAAGAATGATAATAAATGCTAGGACTTATATAATAATATACGAAGAGAATCACCAAATAGTTTTAGTCATATTAAATAGATTATATTCATCCTTTCCATAATCTCATCCATCTTTCATAAATCTTACCATTTTTCATTGCTTCTATGATTTGTTTGGACGATATTTATAATTATTTAAAATATTCTAAGGCCTTTCATGTATGTATATAAAAAATTAATCTCTGGAGGACAGAAATTTTCATTTATTGGTCTCTCTTTTGTTTGTGTTCTTTCCTTATTCCATATTTCCCTGTCTCCTAGTATTTAGCACACACAGGGCCTGTAGTAAAAGTTGTAAGCTGATAAATATATATGCTTTTCTTTTTGAATTTTTATTCTTCTATGACTAAGAAAATAATTACTTAATTTTTTTTTTTTTGGTGATTGTATCACACCCAGCAGTGCTCAGGGACTACTCCAAGCTCAGTGCTCAGGAGTTGCTCCTGGCAGTGTTCAGGAGATCGTGTGTCTGTGCAAGGGAGTGAACTCAGGCTTCCCACGTGCAGAGCAGGCACTTCAGCCCATTGATCTATCTCTATACTCTAATCCCTGATCGAGGGCAAGTCCTGGCTATGTGCTGAAGAGTGACCCCTGGCCATGGGCAAGGGACCATAAGCGGTGCCAGGAATTTGAAACAGTATTGGCAGTAAGCAAGGCAACACCCAAAGTCCTGTACTATATCTCTGGCCTTTTTGTTTTATGAGTGGGAGTTTTTTTGTTTGTTTTGTTTTGTTTTGTGGCCATACCTGGTAGTGCTCAGGGGTTATTCATTCCTAAGGGGGTGGGGGTGCAACCCAGTCGGCCATGTGCGAAGCAAGCACCTCGCTTTGGTTGGTATTTAACTTCTTAAAGCTTGCTTGGTTTACTTTTAAATATTCTTCAGTTTTCTTTCATAAGAGTGTCTTCCATCTTATTGAATAATTTTAACATTTTGGTTGGATCAATTAATTTCAGTAAGAAAATTTATTTTTGTTTTTGTTTTTTGAGGAAGTGGAAGGTTGAGTCACACCCAGTGGTACTTTTGTTTTTTTTTTTGTTGTTTGGGGGCCACAACCGACCATCAGGGTTACTCTTGGCTCTGCACTTGGGAATTACCCTTGATGGTGCTTAGGATGCCGGAGATCATATGGGATCCTGGGGATTGAACCCAGGACTGCTGATGTAAAGCAAGTGTCCCAGCTACTGGAAAAATGCCCTGGTCATTCCCACCCCAGACCTACACACAGTGGTGCTTAAAATCTCTCAGTTCATTCTCAAGTATTGCTTCCAACAGTGTTTGAGATTAAATGTAGGGCTTCTGCAGGCAAAGTATGTGCTCTGTTCCATCTTCCATGATCCCATTTTTGACTGTCTTAAATTGCTGACTTTTACCAAAATTCCTTGTGTGTTTTTTTGTTTGTTATTTTTTGGGCCACAGCCACTGGTGTTCATGGCTGATTCCTGGCTTTGCACTCAGGGTTCAATCTGTTGGGACTTGGGACTGTAATGTGATGCCAGGAATTGAACCCGGGACAGCCAAGTGCTGCACCTTAATAAGACAAGCACCTTATTCCGTATATTATTGCTCTGGCGATAGTTTTTGTGTTTTTATTTTTAAAAATTATGTTTTTGCTCTTCAATAGGGTACTTTTTATTTTCAGTGACTTTTCACTCACTTCCCTGTATCATTTTCTTCCTACACCCCAAGTTTCCATTGTCCGTTTTCATTTTAGCCTCAGTACCCTCATTAGTTCCTTGTCTTTTCTTTCACAGGAAAATAAATTATTTTATTTAAGTAATATAAGACAATTACCTAAAATAATATCCTTAGTGACCTAAGAAAGTTTTGGTATATTTGGGAGTTTCCTGATTTACAAGTAAAACTTACTTCAGCTGGGGGTTACCACTGAATGGTTTTTAATCCCAGTTTGAGGTTCACTAGTTGTTAGTCGCAGAAGGATAGGGCAGCTGATAAGGAGACTCTTCACAGAGAAGAGAGAGATGTGAGAACATTAGCTCCTGAAAATAAAGAGGGCTAAGTCTGGATGAACTAAAAAGGAATACAAAAGGTCCAAATTATTTTAGGCATTTTCCCCCAAGAATTCTTCAGAAATATAGTACCAGCTGTCAAAATGTGGGGAAGAGGGTTATGGCTGTTCTCCAGCTTATTCACTGTTTGGATTCCAAATGTTTATTGTTGCCCAAATATTTACTTATTTATTTATGGCTTTTTGGGGATCACACTCAGTGATGCTCAGGGGTTACTTCTGGCTCTACACTCAGGAATTACTCCTGGCGGGCTCAGGAACCATATAGGATGCCAGGGATTGAATCCGGGTCAACCCTGTGTAAGGCACATATCCACTGTAATATCAATCCAGCCCTAAATAATTGGAATTTTAAAGTATTTCTTCATAGCTTCAATGTAGAAATAATGGTTCCTAAGCCAATTTGCACTTGTAACCAAAGCATGCAGTAGAATAGAGTGGGGAAAAAATTAATCTCAACATTAGGAAATTAGCTGTGTATTCTGAGCCACAATTTTTTAAATCTGTAATGTGAGAGTTCTGAACAAGAATAGATAATCCTTCTCAGTTCTAAATTCCTGTGGCCACATTCACAGTGGACTAGAGGAATCGTTATATATAACACAGTATTGTGGAAAAACTTATTTCAAATTTCAGTATGCCTGAAACACATCTTCGCTCAAACCCAGGAAAGAGAATGGAATCTTTCCTGCTACTGTTGATTCCCCCATGGAGAATCTGGCTCTATGCTCATACACTCCAGATGTACTACCAAGGTTCCTAACAGTAGGGGTTCTTCTCTGTTCTCTCTGCATTTTGGATTCTTTTTCTCAAACTGTCTCAAGTCAAGTCTCAAGAGACGTCAGCAATGGACTGAGATTGAGGCCTCACCTAAGAACACTTTAGCTTTGGTCTCTGAAATTATGAATATGAAATGGAGGCTTTGGCCACATCTCTGCCAATAGGGGCATGCTTTATTTTACTGATGTCTGTCTGTATGAATTAGATTTTTGGAGCAGTGATGTTTGCATAGTGTTTTCTTGTATGATTAGTGAAGTGTATTTTTCTTATGTTTACAATCCTATTTTTAGTTCTTGTATTTTTAAGAAATTATTTTATATACATATTTTTGATTTTTGGGTCAGACCCGGCTATGCACAGGGGTTACTCCTGGCTCTGCACTCAGGAATTACTCCTGGCAGTGCTCAGGGGACCATATGGGATGCTGGGAATCAAACCCGGGTCAGCCGTGTGCAAGGCAAACGCCCTACCCGCTGTGCTATTGCTCCAGCCCCATTATTTTATAAAAATCTTGAAAAATAACTTTCTGGCTTCTCTTAGCAACCCAGTCAAAGGATTAACTATTATAATTAACTGTTAACTCTGGGGGTTGGGAATGTAACCCAGTGGTAGATAACATACTCTATGTGTTTGAGGCCCTAAGTTTGATTCCTGTTGTGTGAAAAATAAATTACTCTACAATACTTACTATACTTTTGATTTTTTTTATTCTTTATTATGATAAGGAGATGGGTATTTTTTAAATTCTATTCACTATCTTTTTTGTTGTTGTGTGTGAAGGGGGCAAGTGTTTGGGCACACTGGCAGTGTTCAAAGTCTACTCCTGGCTCTATGCTCAAACAACCCTTGACTGTGCTTGAGGGACCATATGTGGTATCAGGATCTAACCCAGGGTTGACCACAAGCAAGGCAGGCAAGCACCCCCTAACCATACCTTTAATCTCATGGAAGTTCCTACTTTGTTTACTAAAATATGAAATGTATAAAATATTACTAAATAGGTACATGGAAGGAAGCTTAACCTAGTGCTTAAGTACTTAGAATTTGGAGTCATATTACCTCAATTTGAATCTTAGCTTTAGCACTTCTGAGGTCTTTGACCCTGTGAATGACCTGACTCTGTACCTCAGAATTTCCTCATCTGTCAAATAGGAATAAATATAATTACCTAACAATTGTTATATGTAAGAACATGACTTAAAATATTTGTTCAGCCCTATGTTACACTGTAAACAATGTATAGTTGTTTTTTGAACAAAATAATAACAAAAGCAAATCTAGAACTTTGTCTCTGGGTTTCCTGCCGGAGAGAATAATAGCATTTTGACTCATGAATTAATACAGCCCTACTGCTGTATGATCTCTCTGGCCCCAGATCACACTGTCATATTGTCCTAAAAGTTGGTAGAAATTTTTTTGTTTGTCTTATTTTTTGTTTTGTTCTCGGGTCACAACCAACAGTGTTCAAGAGTTCCTCTTGGCTCTACACTCAGGGATCATACCTGACAATGCTCAGGATGACCATATGGGTTTCTGGGGATAGAACCCAGGTCAGCTGTGTGCAAAGCAAGCACCCTACTGGCAGTACTATCACTCTGGCTCCTTAGTAGAGCTTCTATAAAGGTGATCTTTCTTTTATTTAAAAGGGGATTTAGGAATTGATGTTATAAACTTTGTATTTCCTTTCATTCATTTAATGTTAATTTTGCTACTTTATGAAATGAAGTGCACAGGCAGAGCCTGGCAAGCTCCCCGTGTCAGATTCGATATGCCAAAAACAGTAACAATAACAGGTCTCATTCCCCTGACCCTGAAAGAGCCTCCAATCATTGGGAGAGACAAGTAAGGAGAGGCTGCTAAAATCTCAGGGCTGGGATGAACGGAGATGTTACTGGCACCTGCTCAAGTAAATCGATGAACGACTGGATGACAGTGATACTGTGATAAAGTGATATGAAATGAAGTAAAATATGAATTGTTGATCATCTATTATTCTGCATCAGATTTTTTTAGGTAATTTCATTATACTTAATAGATAAGTGCAAAGAGGTTCTTGGTAGAAATTTGAATTTTGTTTAGAGTAGATGCAATGAAAATGGGACTCTGTTTATGATATAAACAAGGAAGGAAATTGTTGTGCTGGGTAAGGATGTAACTTAAAAGTTTGCCTTGCATGTATTTGTAATTAAATTTCCAACACTGCAAAAAAAATCCCTAAAACTAATAAAAACAAATGGCATTTTTAATGCAACATCCCCAAAGTCCTCTGTAATTCTGAAAAAACTATATGAAGTCACCATATTAAAATTTTGCTGAGGTGAACAGTAAAATTCTCTTATGTTTATAGAGGACTTTGGTTTGTATAGGATTTAAAAAAAAATTTTTTTTTTTTTTTTAGTTTTTGGGTCACACCCGGCAATGCTCAGGGGTTACTCCTGGCTCTGTACTCAGGAATTACTCCTAACAGTGCTCAGGTAACCATATTGGGTGCCAGAGATCAAACCTGGGTTGGCCACATGCAAGGCTAAAACCTTATCTGCTATACTATTGCTCCAGCCTCTGTAGAGGACTTTGAGTACTACCTGCATAGGTACTACTTTATTTTTCTACCAGTAAAGCATTGTTATTCTACTGAGAAAATAGAGATCCAAAGAGGTTTAGGAACTAAATCATGTTTATTGTTTAAACAGGACTAGAATTGAGTTTTTCTGTTTTAAACCTTTGTTATTACTCATTTAAAAACCCCTAGAGGCTTGCTAAAGTCTATATTCTTCCTTGAACACATATCTCACTTGCTTGTCTCAATGTTTCTTTGCTTATTTCTACTCTTGAGAAGCCTGTGTTCTCTCTAGAATATGTACTTCTCTTTCTCTCTCTCTACCCTCACATCTTTCAAAATGTTTCAATAAATTAAAAAAAACTAAAATAAGTGATAGTACTTCTTCCTTTAAAAATCTTCCTAACAAAATTTTATGAATTCTTGTATGTAAGTGTGTAAGGTCTGTAGATACAGTACATCAGGGAGCACACTTGCCAAATTTGATCCCTGGCATCCCATAAAGTCCCTTGAGCACCGCCAGGAGTGTTTTCTGAGCACAGAGCCAGGAGAAACCCCTGAGCATCACCAGGTGTGACCCAAAAACCAAAAAAAAAAAAAAATATATATATATATGTACTTTTTCTACTCATCCATGGTGCAATTAATTTGGTAATTATTTAGTAATTATTTGGTAATTAAATTAATTTAGTAATTTGTTTAGTTTAGTGATTACATTAATTTAGTAAATCATTTAGTTCAGTAATTAAATGAATTTAGGAAAGCCCTCAAAAATTTGTCTATAGCCATAGGTAAGTTCCTATAACATGAATCCTAAGGAGAACTTTCTGGAGAGAGGCCAGTGATTATTTTCCTTTTTAAAGGCAAAGATAGGAGGCTGGAGAGATTGTGGAGTGGGTAGGAAGCTTGCCTTGCATGTAGCCAACCTGTGTTGGATTCAGGCAACACCTTACTGTCCCCTGAACCCGCCAGGCATGATCCCTGAGCATATCCAGATGTGATCCAGAAACAAACAAACAAACAAACAAGAAGCAACAGCAATAAAAAAGAGCCTCTTAGAGAGTACTTGGAGACCTGGGTTTGATCCCCATCATCTCTTGGTCTCCTTAGCACTGCTGGGAGAGACCTCCTTCTGTACTGCTCGGGGTCGTCAAACAGACTGGGGAAGTAGCCTGACAGTAGAGAACTTGCCTTCTATGTGTTGATCCCCAGCATCACAAATAAAGGAAACAAAGAAAACAAGTTTGTCCTAATATTTTTAACATTGATTAGTTTGTAGTCTTCATTTTGTAGCAAAATTATAAAGAGAATAATTGCTATAGGCAGACAGACTTCTCAAGTGGCAGTTAATACCAAGAAGAAAACAGAAAAAGCAAAGTGATTTATAGCCAGTTAAGTCTAACTTAAGCATATTATGTGGGCTCATTTAATAGCGCTACTGAAGGTGACTTTAAGGGACTTACTTTGCTGGAACTGGAGAGATAGTATAGCAGGTCAGACTTAAAAGTGGCTGACCCAGGTTCGATCCCCAGTACCCAATATGGTCCCCCGCAAGCACTGCCAAGAGTAATCCTACACCACTGGATGAGGCCCAAAAACGGAAAGAGAGAGAGAGAGAGAGAGAGAGAGAGACAGAGACAGAGACAGAGACAGAGACAGACAGAGAGAGGTCTTACTATGCAACAATATTACTTAATTCTTTAAGACATGAAAATGTACATAGAATGGTTTCTACCTAACCTCTAAAGGACTAACCTATCTTTATAAATAAATTATATAAAAGGATCAATTCAATGTTCATAGGTTCCTAACATTTTGCTAACTGTATCTAGCTTTCCATCCTCCCTTCCTCCATTCCTTCTTCCCTATCATAAAAATATTTGTTCAAATTAAGTAACCTTCCAAAATTGTAGACTTTTTGCTCTTTAGCCAAGAGCTAAGATATAGTACACATTTGCAGAAGGTATAAACTAGTACACAGAAGCTACTCAAGACTAAGAAAAAACATGAGCCATCATTTGGTTTCTTTGAGTGACTTTAAAAATAATATTCTGATACAGAATCATTTTCCTTACAGATGATGAAGAACGAGAACTTCAGATAGACCCTGCCGACTATGGAAAGCAACGTTTCAATGATGTTCTTTAAGTCTAAAAAGAAAAGTTCGGAAAACCGAAAGTGCTGTAAAATGGAGTAATTTCTACTTTGTTGTTTTTCACTTTTGTTGTAAAGAACAGTTGCATCAATTGTAAAGATACATTGAGATTGACTTAAGAAAAAAAATTAATGATGGAGAATACCCATGTACATATGTGAACTTTTTCATATTATATTATCAAAGAAGAGTCTTTGGGTTATGATACAGTTGAGCCAAAAAAAAAAAGTAAGCAAAACTGTAGTCTTTGAATTTAAAGCAAAATAATGTATAATTTACATTTTTTAAATCTTAATTCTTTCCACAGATGGACAAACAGGAAAATATGGGTGTACAGTTTATATATTGCACATAGAATATCCACAGTGATAACAGTTCCTCCACTGAAAAAAGTTTTATATTCTAATATATTATTACTAGCCCAACTGGAATTATTGACACCCCCTCCCCCGCCCATCTCATAATATTCAAGAGTTAGACCTAGAATAGTCACAGAAACAAAAGAACCAGGTTGCCAAACACTGGGCTGTACATGTGCAGAATTCCTTCCCTGCTTTTATTTGACACGAATTCTGATATATTTTGGAAGATAATCTTTCAAGTGAGGTCTAATGGAGGATGAGATAATCTGCAAAGATATAACAATATTTATAAGTTATACCTTAAGTTCCTGAAGTTGTGAAATGCATGATTGACAATATATTTTTGATTTTTTATTTTTTCACATAATGCCAGTACTATGATGAGAACTGGCTCAAATATTAATATTTTGAGTTCAAATTGGTGGACATGTTCATGATTTAAATGCTGGATTTTTTTTTAAAGGCTAAAATCAACTTTGAAATGAATTTACAATCAGTATTTCAAAGTTTCTCTGGTAGTTTTAGTGTTGAGTAGACTTTCGGAAGTACTAAATAAGGAGTTTTAACAGATTTTTATTAATGCACAGATAAATAGAAGTACAGTGAGTTCTACAGCCATTTTATTAAAATAGCTTAAAAGTTTGTAATAAGAATGAAGAATCTTTGTAATTACTTAATATGTTAGTTAAGAACCCATAAGCCTCATATTTGCTAGACTTACAAAATTATTTTAAATGCATTTGTCTTTTTGACACTTTTCAGTAGAAAGTGTAAGCTAGCTAAAATTTCTAGAATTCCTTGTGTTCTAATTTAAAACATTTTCAATCTTATCATTGCCCCTCCCAAAAAAAGGTCTTAATTGTAAGGAGAAATTTAGGATTGTTAACTCTTTTACAGAAGAGATGCTATTAATTGCATATAAATACACATTCCCTATACTCAGGTTTTAGTAAAAATCAAATGTATAGAAGTGAGAACAATTGTTCACCTCTTGGAGGCACAAAAAATTCTCAGAATACAATTTGAAATTATTTAGTGACAAGGAAAAGATGAAGTAATTTACTAAAATTGTTTTTTCTACCATATAAAAGTAAGCCTTTGCTATCAGTAGAATAGGGCCTACCCTGAATAGGTATATTAATTCTTTTTTTTTTAAATTGCGTTAAAGGGAATTATAGTGTACCTTTCAGGTGTTAGTACAGGAAGATGAATCTAAAAAGTACTCCTAGAGTAATACTTTATAAAATACTGTAAAATATTTTCATGAAAACCATAAACTTTTCTGCCTTAAGTTCTTTTGTCATAAAAACAATCATTTGGTTTAGAGAAAAATTTCTCTAATTAGCATTCTAGAAATTTTATAAACTGAAAAATATTGGACCAATTGATAATATTTCTGACTGTATTAACATTTTAGTGCTATAAAATATGTGAATCTCTTAAAATCCTGACATTCTACAATCTGTATTAAACATGTTGGTTTTATAATGTTTTACTTCTGCCTTAAGATTTAGGTTTTTTTAAATGTATTTTTGCCCTAAATTAAGTGTTAATTTGATGGAAACTGGTTTTAAAATCATCCCTTACTGGGTTCTAATAAATTAAAGATTAAACTTGTTTCACTATTTTGCTGTTTCTGATAACACATCATGCTCATGTGATTCAAATAGTTACATTTCAACACTAAAACTTTTGGAATTAATTTAAAGCTAAGCTAAACTAGAGTTAAAGGGAAACTTTTACACTAGGGTTGTTTACAACAGGATTAGTTTATTTAGCAAACATTGAATGGGTCCTAATACTGAGATTTGTTGTTACAGGTAGTGAGACTACAACAAATGATAAGATAGACAAAATTTCCACTCACATGGAACCTACATTCAAGTAGATATAGTTCAGACAATATATAAGCAAACACTTGAACCAGATAATTTTATTTCACTTCGTTTGGGATGAGACCTCTCCAGAGGTGCTTCAGGGTCTGTAATTAGGACTTAAAAAATTTTAAAAAATAAGTATTTTCTAAATCTTAAAATTGTATTTCTTTTGGGTTTCCCATTTGTAACATATTTGTTACATTATGAAGATAATAATGTTTAAAAAAAACATAATTGGACCATATCCTAGTGATAGAGAATATACCTTGCATGTATGAGGCCCTGGGTTTGATCCTTGACACTAAAAACAAGGAAGCCAGAGCCATAGTACAGCAGTATAGTAGGTAAGTCTCTTACCTACTATACTATCTCTTCAGCTATTGCTTTTTTGTTCACCCCTGGTTCTACTCAGATCACTTCTGGTGGTGCTGTGTCAGGGATCAAATCAGAGTCTGCTGCATGCAAGAAAAGCATCTTAAGTCCTGTACTATCTCTAATTCCTTAAGTACTTGTTTTAATTGCACTAAATTTGTTTTGATTGCATTAACTTTTATGCAATTTGGACCATTAATGCTCCCTCACCTACTACATTTCTGGGATAGTTGGTTGAAATTTTATTTGGAACTCAAAATAAGAAACATTTTTAATGTTAGAACTGGATGTAGTTCAGTTGAATATTGATGACCCAGATATGATGTCTAAGACTCAATAACCTCAAGCTTGGAAATATATTGTTTCACTTATCACAACACCAGGGTGAAACATGTGAGGAGATATAAGTTCCAAGATAAGCCAAAAGCCAATATGGCAAGTGATGATTTCCCTCGTAAGTAAATGTTTTTTGTTTTGCTTTAATTTTATCTAAGTCACACCTGGCAATGTTCAGGGGTTACTCCTGGCTCTGCAGTAATTACTCCTGCCGGTGCTCAGGGGACTATATAGGATGCTGGGAATTGAACCTGGGTCATCCGCGTGCAAGACAAACACTCTACCTGCTGTGCTATCGCTCCAGCCCCTCTGCTATTACCTTTATTCTCTCATACCAAAAAAAGGTCTTGTAAGGAGAAATTTAGGATTATCAAGTTTTACACAAGAGATGCTGTTAATTGCATAAAAATACACATTCCCTGTACTCAGGTTTTAGTAAAGCTTCAAAGCTCTAATCAACCTTCAAAGCTCTAACACTCAGTTTAATTTATAAAAGCTTGAGAGCCTGGGGCCAGAGAGATGCTTGTAAGCAGGTAAGATGCTTGCCTTGCATTCAACTGACCCTGGTTTGATCCCCAACATCACATATGGTCCTTCAAGCACCGCCAGAAATGATTCTTGAGTGCAGAATCAGGAGTAACTCTTGAACATCTCCCAGGTACGGCCCAAAACCAAGCAAACCCAAAATATAAATACATATGAGATAGTCAGAAGGGAGAGAAAGTTCCTTGCACACAGCTGACCAGGGCAAAATCCCGAACATCCCTGAGCACCACCAGGAGTAATCTGAGTGCAGAGTCAGGGGTAACCCTTATGACCACCAGGTGTGGCCCAAAAAAATTAAAAAAAAAATAATAAAAGTATGAGAGAAGAACCCAGATGAATAGTTCATTGGTTTAGAATGCCCAAATTAAAATCATAGTCATTAGTTGTCACCAGTTCCACCACATGTGTGAGCCTAGCAACTCTGTATCTGTAATCCTCAGCACTGCAGTCAGTTTCCTGCTACTCTACAGCCAGGTAATTTGTGAACACTAATAAGAAAGGATGCAACCTCCGGCAAGCAGCACAACTAAAAGATGTTTGAGCACCATGGCAAGCACCTGTGTGGGCACCCTGCAGCATGCCCTGGCAAGCTCTAGGATAAAAGTGTTTCACAGCTGAAGGAATAAAACCCACCGTGAGCACCGAGGCCTTGTATGCAAGCACCACACCCTGACATGTTACCCTGGTGAGAACTGCAATAAAATGAGCAGCACAGCGGCTGTATGTGCAAAACCAAGTCACTGAAACAACTTCAATTACCATGAAAGGAACAGGAATGGGGGGCGGGGTGGAATACAACTCTCAGGGCTGGGAAGATAACTCAAAGGGCTGAAGTGCATGGTTCGTATGCAGAAGACCTTTTGTTTGTTTGTTTTGGGTTTATACTCAGCTGTGCTCTGGCTTACTCCTGACTCAGTGCTCAGGGATCAACCAGGGTCAGCCATGTGCTAGGCAAGAGCCCTACCTCCCATCTTATGATTGTGGCCCAGGAGCCCCAAAGTTTGATTCCCTAGCATGGCTTGGTCCTCCAATTACTAGAAACAATGCTCCCCAACACTGCTGGGTGTGGTCCCCAAAACAAAAAATATTAGAGCCAATTTCTGGTTCTGGCTATGGCTGAATAATTTGACTAGCCCGCCTGGATTAGTAATAACAAATATAAAGTACTCCGAACTGTTTTCAAAATAAAATTTCTGAAAGAAATTCAGTTTAGCCCCACAATCGCCTGCTTCCTTTAATAGAAAGAAGTTGAAGTGTTGAACTAAGAAGACAGATCCTTTACTGAGCAACTAAAGTTATTGGAATCTGTGAAATGGAGCATCAGAGAAGAGGATGCTATTCAGAGAGGTGACCCCAGAAAACCATATAATGTTGGCTCAAAGAGGTAGTAGGGCATTAGTGTTTATCTTTCACTTGGGCCAATACTGATTCAACTCCCAGCATTGAATATGGCCCCCTGAGCATTGTCAGGGAAGATCTTTGGACACAGAAACCAGGGTAAACTGTTGAGTACTCCTTTGTGTGGTCCCAAAAGAAAAAAAAAAGTAAAAAGAAAACCATATAATGGTTCCTACAAGAGAATGATTAGTGGCTGGGCTGAATATAGCCAGAGCAAGACCACTGATGCTTATAAGACAGGAGTTACTGCACAGCTGAGAATGGAACAGAGAGATTTCAGCGATCAAGAATTGTTGGAATACCTTTTGGAAAACAGTATGGACACTTCTCAAAAAATTAGAAATTAAGCTCCCATTTGACCCAGCAATATCACCTCTGGGAATATATCCCAGAGATGCAAAAAAGTATAGTAGAAATGACATCTGCACTTACATGTTCATTGCAGCACTGTTTACAATAGCCAAAATCTGGAAAAAAAACCTGAATGCCCGAGAACAGAAGACTGGTCAAAGAAACTTTGGTACATCTACACAATGGAATACTATGCAGCTGTTAGAAAAGATGAAGTCATGAAATTTTCCTGTAAGTGGATCAACATGGAAAGTATCATGTTAAGTGAAATGAGTCAGAGAGAGACAGACATAGAAGGATTGCACTCATTTGTGGAATATAAACTAACATAATGGGAGACTAACACCCAAGAATAGTAGAGATAAGTACCAGGAGGATTACTCCACAGCTTAAAAGCTGGCCTTACATGCTGGAGGAAAAGGAAGTTCAGATAGAGAAGGGACCACCAAGTAAAGGGTGCTAGGAGGGCCCACTCGGGATAGGAGATGCAGGCTGAAAGAACGAACATGATGGCCACTTAATACCTCTATTGCAAACCACAACACACAAAAAGCGAGAGAGAGCAAAAGGGAATGTCCTGCCACAGAGGCGGGGTAGGGTGGAGGGATGGGGTGGGGGTGGTGGGAGGGATGCTGGGACCATTGGTGATGAAAAATGGGCACTGGTGGAGGGATGGGTACTCGATCATTGTATGATGAAACCCAAGCACAAAAATTTGTAAGTCTGTAACTGTACCTCACGGTGATTCACTAATAAAAAAATTTTTTTAAATGTTGGCATAAATGCAATGCAAAGAAGGGGAAAAAAGAAAATGACAAATGAGATGAAGAGTGTACAGAACTTCTTGTAGTATATTCTTTGGTAAAATGAATGATTTCAAAATAGGTAAAGGTAAAGGCCCTCCCGTTGATCGTCGATTTGCTCGAGTGGGCCCAGTAACGTCTCCATCGGAGACTTTGTTGTTACTGTGTCTGGCATATCGAATACTCTCGGTAGCTTGCCGGGCTCTCCAAGAGGGGCGAAGGAATCGAACTCGGGTCGGCCATGTTGACCGCTTGTAAGGCGAACGCCCTACCTAAAAATTAAAAAGTGAGCTGATCTGTGCAGGACGGGCACGGAGGCCCAGCTTTGGGCAACAAAGCTGAACGGCTCCAATTCCAAACAGGTACAGCCCGCCCCCAAGGGCCTGGGACCCTCTCTGGGCATGCGCAGCTAGATCCAGCTCCTAGAAAGCCGGTTTTCAACCCCTGATCTGCGCGGGACAGGCACGGAGGCCCAGCTCTGGGCAACAAAGCTGAACGGCTCCAATTCCAAACAGGAGACGTTCCCAACTCCTCGCCCAGTGCCAGGGACTCTTTCCGGAGCCGCGGCCATTAAAGCGGCCGCGAAATATTTTCCCACTACGTATGCCATAGGAACCATAAGCTACCTTCCTAGATGGAAACTTCTCTATTTTAACTCAGCCACTAGAAACACAGTAGCTAATAACTCATAAGCCTATCTTAACTCACACTGCATATCAAGCAGAATAGTAACAGTGAACGTGAAGGACTAAATCACACCTCTCACAATGGTAAAGCAACGCAAAAGCCCACCAAACTTTCATATTGAAGAGTCTAGCCCAGATGACACCAACAGTACTGTAGTGTTAGACGACCTCTCTGACAAGGAATTCAGAAGGGAGCTACTTAGGATGTTTAAGGAATTAAAAGAAACAATGGAAAGCAATGCCAATAG